GGATGAAGGAACTAGAAAGTTCCAAAACAGCAGGCTTTTAAAAAGTCATCAGGCAGGGCAGGTGTGGGGACACAGGTAGGTAGGTATAGGGCGTGTTTAAAACCCTGAAAGTATTGTGACTTTGGTAGTTGGCCTGACGAGCCTGACCTGGAGCTCAGTGTCCCTGCACAGAGCCCAGCACAGGAGTGCTGTGTGTGTGCTGAGCCCCCAGCACGCTGTGACCAACGGAGACAGAGATGACCAGGGTGACAGCAAGGCCGCCGGTGGAACAGGAAGCGGCAGTAATCTATCTCAACTTAGACAAAAATTGGAGCTGCAGAATCTGATGTTAACTATTTTGGACCTCGAGGGTCTGTCCGAATGCTTGTACCTCCTAGGGGAAAGTTTGGCTGGTAAATGGCTTGATTTGGTCATCTTCAGCTTTTGGAGCAGCAGTAGCCGCCCATGCCCCAGCGCAGCCCTGCGGCAGGTGCCACACCTGGTGCGACTTGCTGAAGACAAGGAGGAAAATAAGGACCTTGTCCTCCAGCTATTAGGTTCTGCGTTCTGATCTCAGCTTTGGACCCAGGAGGTGCGGACACAGGGCCCACCGCCCCTGCAGCACCCCCACCAGCTAAAGGAGCTTCTGAAGGACTTAGAGAGCAGCCTCAGCTGTTTTATTCTTTTCCCCTCTGGGGAGCCGAACATGGAAGGATTAGGATATTCAAAAGCGACTGTGTGGACAACCTCTGTGAACTGAAGGTGGCTTCTAGCCAAAAACCAGTAAGAGGCCAGGACCCACAAATCCACAAACCCACAAGAAAACGAATTCTGCCAACCACCGAAGGACTTGGGGAGGCTCCTTCCCTGGTTCCGCCCTGAGAGAAGAGCGCAGCCTGGCCGGCACCGGGCGTACCTTGTAAGCCCTGGAGCACAGCACCAATTGCAGTTGTGCCCAGAGGCTCGAGCTATGAAAAATGGGTGGGGGTGTGGGTGTGTGTTTATGCAATCTCCTGTCTGGGGGTGCAGGAAGCCACACTCGTGCCCAGGGAGAGACAGGTTCAGGGAAGACCCGAGAAGTCCGCAAGGTTTTACCTCAGGTTCATCAGAGACACTTCTAACAATTGAACAAACAGATAAACAAAAACTCTGGGTGAATCTGATTTCCAGAGTTACATTATAAGATTCAAGTGTTCACTTTTCAACAAAGAGTCACAAGAATCTGCCACTGAGGAAGCACAGATGGCAGACTTGCTAGACGAGAACAAAAACAGCTGTCTGGAAGGTGCTCAAAGGACTGAAGGAAGACATGACAAAGAGGGGAGAACAACACCTGGTACAGTTACCAAAATGAGATTTCCTCAGAGGAGTTCAAAAGTATATGGAAGCAGGCAGAAGAAAGAAACAATGAACTTAAAGGCAACTAAAGTACTGAGAAAAAAGGAATGAAGACAAGTGATGAACAGAACCACAGGGACCCCGGGACCCCTTTCAGCAGACGTGCGCATTGTGGGAATCCCAGGACGGGGGAGAGAGACGGGCAAAAAGAGTATCTGAAGAAATAATGAATGAAAACTCCTCAAATTTTGTAAAAGACACAAATCTACAAATCCAGGAAGTTCAACAAGCTTCAGGTAGAAGAGACTTAGGAACATACCAAGACATATTCTAATCAAACTGTCAAAAGAGAAACAAAGAGGTTCTTGAAAAGCAGCAAGAAAGACTTGTCACACACAAGGAATTCTCAATAAGATTACCAGCAAACTCTTCATTAGAAACCTTGGAGGCCAGAAAGCTGTGGTAGATTTACTCAAATTGATGAAAGAAAAAAACCTGTCAGAATTCGGTCTGTGGCAAAACTGTTCTTTAAGGAGGGAGAAATAAGAAATAAAAACTGAGGGAGTTTATTACCAATAGAGCTGCCTTGCAAGGAATGCTAAAGAAAAAATGGACATACTCCAACTAGGATAAATTCAGAGACCCACAGCTAACACTGAAACACTGATGGGCAAAATAGCTTTACAATAACAGTAGGAGACTTCAACACGCCACTCAGGCAGTCAGGTAGAACAACCGAGACAGACCAGGAAGGAAAAGAGGACTTGAACCACACGGAGCAACTAGACCTAAGAGACGTGCAGAGAACACTCCACCCAGCCACGGCGCCACACACCTTCTTCTCAGGTGCCCAGGGAATGGCCTCCAGACAGAGTGTGCTGGGCCATAAAACGAGTGTCAACAAATTTTAACAGACTGAAGCCGTAAGAAGTATTTTTGTTACCACAATGTAAGGAAACTAGAAATCAATAATGAATGGAAAATTCATAAGTATTAACTGGAAATTAAGCAACACATCACAAAGGAAATTAGAAAATATCTTGAGATAAACGACAATTACAGCATATCAAAACCAAAAGCAGCACGAAGGAGGAAATTACAGTTGTGAACTGCTTACCTTAAAAAAGAAGGAAGGTCTCAAACTGACTACCTACTTTATATCTTAAGGAACTAGAAAAAGAAGAAAAAACTAAATCCCTGAGCTAACAGTAGAAGGTAATACTATAAGAGATAAATAAGAAATAGAAAAATAATAGAGAAATTATTGAGGCCAAGAGTTGGTTCTTTAAAAAAAAAAATCAACTTAATGACAGGCCTTTAGCTAATAAGAAAAATACAAGACAAAATCAGAAAAGAGGGGACCATAATTATAAATTTTACAGAAATAAAAAGGATTATGAGGGCATATCTGACCCTTGAACAATGCAGGGGTTGCGGTGCTAACCCCTGTGTAGTTGGAAATCTGCGTATAATTTCTAACTCCCGAAAAACTTAACTACAAATAGCTTACTTCTGACTGGAAGTTTTACCAATAACACAGCCAATTAACACACATTTTGTTTATGCACTATATACTGTATTCTTATAAAAAACTAAGCTAGATAAAAGAAAATGTTATTAAGAAAATCATTAAGGGAACCTTGTTTACAGTACTGTATTGATACTGTAAGTTCATTGTCTACTTACAAGATGAATTGTCTCAGTAACAACATAATATTGTCCTATGAAATACTGTAGATGTTATAGGTATTATTAGCATTAGATATCAAAAATGAAAAGGTAATGTAAAAAAAAGAAATTCATATTTAGCCACAGGTATAACGATTCATGCATTGATAACGAAAAAACAGTGATACAACTGCTCTATGGGAGCCTTGTGCAATCAATGCAACTGCTTCACAGTAGTAAGGAAATCTCAAAAAAATTTCCAATATATTTGTCAAATAAAATCTGTGCTTTTTAGTCAATAAATGGACCGATGCAGCTCAAACCCATGTTGTTCAAGGGCAAACTATATTATGAATAATTGCATGCCAACAAAAGGACAGATTTCTGAAACATGCAACTTACCAAGACTGGATCGTGAAGAAAGAGAAAATCTGAATAGACTTATAATTAGTAAGGAGACGGAATCAGTAATAAAAAACATGCCAACAAGGTGAATTCTACCAATCATGTAAAAAATTATTAACACCAGCCCTTCTCAAACTCTTGCAAAAACATGAAATGGAGGGAAGATTTCTAATTCATTCTGTGAGGCCAAAGACACCACAAAAAAACTATAGGTTAATATCTTTCATGAATATTGATGCAAAATCTCCAACAAAATATTAGCAAATTGAATCCAACAGCCCAGGAAAAGGATTGTACATGACAAAGTAGAATTTATTCCTGGAACGCGGGGATCACCCAACACAAAAACATCAGTCAATGTAATAAACCATACAACTGAAGAAAGGGGGAAAATCAGATGATCATCTCAACTGATGCAGCAAAATCATCTGACAAAAATCAGTATGTTTTCATGATTAAAACACCCAACAAACTAGGAACAGAAGAAACATAATGAAAGTCATATATGAAAAATCCCACAGTTAATATAATGGTGAAAGACCGTAAGCTTTCTCTTTCAGATCAGGAACAAGACAAAGATGCCCACTCTCACCACTTCTGTTCAGCATAGAACTGAAGTCCAAGCCAGGGCAATCAGGCAAGAGAAAATGAAAGGCACCAAGTTTGGAGAGGAAGGAGTAAAATGATCCGTTTGCCGACGTTATCTTATATGTAGAAAACCCTAAAGAATGCACATACGCTTTTACAACTAATAAATGAAATCAGCAGAGTTGAAGGATACAAGATCGACAAACCAAAATCAGTTGTTTCTATACTCTTAACAATGAAGAATCCAAAAAGAAAATTAGGAAAACCATTCCATTTGAAATAGCATTGAAAAGAATACAAGTCTTAGGAATAAACAGCCCAGGAGGCAGAAGACTTATACACTGAAAACTACAGATCATTGCTGAAAGAAATTAAAGAAGACTTGAGGTAGTAGTCTGTAATATCTTTTCTGGGTACTGTGGCCAGTCTGGTTGTCACATATAATTAACTATCACACCAAGTGTTCACTAAATGAATGGAAAAACAAAATGAGTATCCTCCCACAATGGGTAATATTATTCAGCCATCAAAGGAGTAAAATTTGATACATGCTTTAACATGGATGGACCTTGAAATTTTTATGTTAAGTGAAATGAGTCAGACACAGAAGGGCAAGTATCGTGTGATTCCACCTATATGAACAGGCAGATACACAGAAAGTAGAAGAGAGGCCGCCAAAGCCTGGGCAGGGGGGTGGGGGACAGTAGTTACTGGCTGGTGGGTACAGCTTCAGTTTGGGAAGATACATGGTTTTGGGACTAGATTGTAGTGATGGTTATGCAACACTGTGAAATGTATTTAACGCCACTGGATTATACGTGCATTACCTTCAGGTTAAATGGATAGATATTATCATGATAAAATACATTAAAAAGAAAAATAAAAATAAAAACCCAAACCAACACACACGGCCTGTGTGTGAAGGAGAAGCCGACGGGTCAGGAACACTCACGGACCCACAGGTGTTTGCTGGATGCAGTACCTTCACGGGTGGCCTGCTTGCCTCAGTTTCTCCTGTTCCGTCCCTACGTTCGTCCTCCTCCTGACAAGGCCCTGGCCAATGTCTCTGACCACTGACTTCCTTTCTTGTGGCACTGTCAAGAAACTGGAATCTCATTCTCACAGCAAAATAACAGATGCCGAAAATGTAAAGTCGTGAGTTTATTGCATATGTAACAAAATGAACCTGACCTCCGGGCCCAGCCTGCTGTACAGTCATGGTTGGTTCTGTGTTTCCAGCTGGTTCCATAACCACATTAAATAGAACTAGTATTTCTTTAAATACTTTTGATTTTGACATAAAACAGAACATTAGTGTACAACTTTCACAAAATAAATCAGCAATAAAAACAGTGGGAAGAATAACAAGGATAGCAGCAATACTTAAAAACAAGACATTACAAAATAAATTAAAAAATACATTATAAAGTGGTTGAGAAACAAAAATAAACAAATTTTAAAAATTCATACTACGTTTCAGGAAGGCTGCCCAGTGGCACACGCTTGGCTGCAGACAGGGGGTGGGCGGGCCTTTTCTCTGCACAGCCCCTCCTGACAGCGCAGATCTGAGACCACCTGACCTGAATTTGGACCATTAGGCTGAGCAAGCTCAGGGGCCACAGTCCCACGCAGGCGGCTCTCCCTTCGGAGGCGCCGGGAGCTCAGTTACTGCGCCCGCACGCAGCCCTCTGCCCTCCCTCCCTGCAGCGCTGGCAGAGCGGTGGTTTGCTACATCCCTGAGGGTCGGCTGCTGACCGCCAGTGGGGGCAAGCCTGAAGGCCGGGCCTGAAGCATTGGGGCACAGCGGGGGGCGACAGGGTGGCCGTCTGGGGCTACCAGAGTGTGACCCGACGGGGAGTGTCAGTGGGGTTCCTGCAGGCCTAGAGGGCGTCATTGGGAGCAGTTCCGATTGCTTCCTACACGACTCTTTGGGGTAGTTCAAAAGACCCAAACAACTGTCAGTATTTAAGGTTCTGGAAGTGCAGGGCTGCTGACAGAGGCCTGTCTGGCAAGAGTAAACTGGGGCTCCGGAAAGCTCTGCCCTTTCAGGCTCCATGGTAACACGGCGGCTGAGGTACCCACGTGCAAGTTTAAGTTAAAAAGCAGAGACCCGGGCCTCCCAGACGGACGGGCACCTCATGTCCCGAGCAGCTCCTGGAGGAGCCGGGATGCGACCCTGTGGACCTTGCTGAAGGGACACCGGATGAGGGAGCAGCACAGGGCTGGCAGGTGTGGAGTCTGAGGCTCGGTCTCGGCTCCTAACAGCAGGAAGGTCGTTACAAAGGAGTCACTTGCGACATCCCTATGTCCCTGCTTCCCAGTCTATTCGACCAGCAGACCCTGTTTTCTTCCCAGGCACTGCAGGCCGGGCCACTGCTGCAGCCAGGGTAGGGGTGGGTCTCCTGCCTCAGTGCTCGTGAGGGCCCTTCCGGTCAGATGGGCGTCCTCCCCGCTTCCCAGGGCTCAGTCACACAGGGGAGCAGACCGAGTTGGTGGGAGGTCTATGTTGTTCATGTCCCTCTTAGAGGAGATTCCGAGGGGGACTGGATGGATCCCTGGAGCCAGCTTCTAAAATGCCCTCAGAAAGTGTCACAGCAAATGAGACAGAGGATGCGCCCCACTGCGACACAGCACACCTCTTGAAAGACAAGGCTCACGATTTGGCCTGGATGTATGACTGGACTGTTTTCCTTCTGCCGCAAATCACACCCAACAGCCCTTCTGTCTAGAAGCCCAGCACGCAGCCCGAAGGTTTGGCTCGCAGCTTGTGGAATCCGTGAATGGGACCGACCTCTGCGCAAGGGGTTCCAGAGGGAGGGTCTGGGTGCCCCCCACATTGGACTAGAGACGGCTTCCGGGGCAAGGCAAGAGCGAGGCGCAGAAGGTGAGCGTGCGTCACACGCAGCCCAGTCTGCAGGAGTTGGTGGTGACGCGGGCACTGAAACAGTTGGCCAAAGGTTCCTTCCAAACCCACCTCAGCCCACAGCGGGGGCCCACCGCCTACCTCAGAAGCATCCACAGCGAAATGTCAACAGTGATATGTCTCGCTAATAAGTGACCCTGCACTTGCCCCCAAACAAAAACACCAAAAAGCCAGGCGGGAAGATCTGTGGCTGCCACCATTTGTTGCTGAAGGTCAGTTATCTGGAATATCAAGCTGCTTGTTAAAATACCGTTTGAACTTTTGTGCACATTGGAAACTGGTGTTAGAAACTTAGGGGCTCGGCTTGCTTTGGACTTGCTCATCATACGAAGATATCAGGGCAAGTAAATCGAGTAGCAATTGCCAACGTCACCGGCTGACACTGGGAAACGGGCCGAATGGTCAGGGTGGAATCGTCCTTCTAGGCCGTCAGGTTTACACCGCGCCCCGCTTTTTGTAAAATAGTAACGTGGGGTGCATTTCGGTCATCGAGGCTATCTGTTCCCCCTCTCCCTTTTAAGCTAGTTTGCACCAAGCCAGCAGCTGTAATGATAGAGTTCTGTTTTATTAGGTTAGCTCTTAGCAATTTCCGCACAATAGTTGGTTAGTATCTGGGCGGCCCAGCTGCCCTCTCCGCGAACAGGTGGCGCGGGGGCCACAGCCCGGGAGCTCCGCTGTGTGGTGTTTTCACTGGAAAAATATTTCCAGCTGGATGGGTAATGTGGCAAAAGGGACTCTTAAAAAGAAAGATCATTTTTTTTATGCAAAACGAAATTTTCAACCAGGATACCCTGAAAAGAAGTACCCTGGGCCTCCAGCTAAAGCTGCCCAATTCCTTTACCTTTCAAAAAGGACTCAAGCTTCCTGCTGTGGCAGAATTCCCGTGTGTATCATACAGTTAGTTTTCAGGTAGAAATTAATCTGTGACCCCAAGCAGGCTGCTGGGATGTGAAATCTGGAATTTGAGCTGAACTGGAAAAGAGGCCCAAAGACTGTTTTGAGACAGAGCGGCTAGTGCAGTGACCAGTCGCAAACCCTCCGTGAACAAGCTCAGCTCCCGGCCTGCAGGCTGCCACTCCTGTAAGGACCGCAGGGCAGTGAGCCTGTCGCCATGTGTTACCGCCATGGCAGGATATCCTGTGTGACCGGAGCCCAGTCTGAACCTGGCTGCGTTTTATTGGATGGGTGATGGAAGGGCGCGGGAGTGCTGTCGAGGTAAAGGAGGAAAATATGGGTGGGAGCCACCAACCAAAGTCCCCCCGCCCCCCTCGCTCCCCCAACACAAAGGAGGGGAGACGACCCTGTCCCTCAGGTTATCGAGAATTCCAGTGCCTCAGCCTGCTTCGCAGGAGGCGCGCAGAAGGCGACAGGCGTTTGGTCTGGTGGTCGTGAGCTAGAATCTGTTGCCTTTGGTTGCTCTTCACTCCACAGCAAACCCACAGGTCTCCTCCACTGCTATCAACAGCTTCTCGTAGAGCTTTTCATAAGACTCATAAGGTGGAATATCGATCCGGTTAAAGCTGGAATGGGACAAAAGAGCGAGAGTCACTGCTGGCCCGAGGACCTGCCTCGAGGAAAAGGATAGGCAGGAGCAGAGCGCTCGCAGCCATGAGCTGGCTCTGCACATGTGTGCATGCGTGTTCGTGAGCCTGTGGGGCGTGGGTAAAGCAAAGGGGAAACCTCTCATCTCTAGTTCTGGGGGTGAGGTGGGGCGGGGGCGAGTGGACAACACCCCCCCCCCCCGTTCCTTTCTGCTTCTAATGCAAAGATTTTTTAAATCAACACACAGCAAAAATAAATCTTCAGATCCTTAAAACCAAAAGAAAACCAAATTACTATTTACTGGGGATATTAGGACAAAGCTCTAACTTATTTTGTTTGCTTTTTGTCCTTGGGAGAAATTACTGAGTACCAGGAATACCATCTCTGCAAACAAGCATAATCCAGACTGGCCGCAGTCAGCACTAGCCTGTGTGCCTGTGTGTTCCTTTGTGACTTGATCTGAGACCAAAACGGTACAGTCTGGAAAATTCCCTGCAAAACTAAGAAAGATCAAACCTCTGATAGGTGAAATGAATCTTAACTTCTACTTCAATAATCCCATGGAGAGATCCATTCCCAATGTTTGTGCCTCTAAGAAGCTATTATCTCAACAAATCAAACACAAAATGGTCATGACCCAGGGGACACAGAGTGGCCTGCTGAATTTCTGAGGGATACGTACATAACTAAGCCTGGTTTTTGTCAAAAAGGGTCAGGCAAAATGGCGGTGCAGTCTTTCTTCCAGAGCTTTTCATTCCCATTTCACTGCGAGCACCGACGTGCCGCGGGGCAGGGGGCAGTGTGGTGCGCACACCTGGCCCCCTGGCCGCCTCACCTGTGCGGGGCGGGGCTCTGTGTCCCTCCAGTCCCAGGTTAACAGAAGAGTCGCACTCGTGGAAGCCCAGTAGCGACCGGAGCCTCCCCCACAAGACAATGCAGTGACAACATGTGGGGCTGGCTGTCCTGACCTAGAGGTGGATGTTCTTTTGCTTTTTAAACCAAACAACCCACCACAAATATTATTTCAGTTGAAATTAAGGGAGGCTGTATTGTCAGTAGGCAAGGCACATCTGTCATGTGCAAAGCCCAGAAGGACCACGGCGCCCCAGGAAGGGCAGATAAAGGGGAGACTGGTAAGTCCAGCTCGGAGGCTACAACTTTCCCTGCGGTGGGTGCACCTGTGCGCACGCGCACAGGTGGGCAGCACGACCCAGGGATGTGCGCACTGGGACATCTCCGGACAAATCCAGTTTCACAGAAGAGAGTTCTGATGACCCTCAGATGTGACATGCTACCAAGCGCTTGTGCCCCCGGACACTGGCACTGCTGGTAGCTGTGCCTGGGACTCTGAGTGCTAAGTCAGAAGCAGGTGAGAAAGTCAAGCAGACAAGTGTGCTCCATGGACACAGGCTCCTGAGCGTAGCCGACAGCGTCCTTACCAGGTGTGGGCCTTCGGGAGGTTGTCCGTGTTTGCGTCGATGAGGTGGATGGTGAACAGCCGCGGCCCTGCGGCGCCTGTAGAACCTTACAAGACAGCATTCTAGTTACTGCGCTTCGGAGGTGGAGCCCGGCCCCTCCACCCTCGGCTGCCCGCTGCCCGCCCCAGGGCTGGCCAGCCCCAGGCTCCCGGAGTTCCCGCGGCGACTGGCCACCATATGACTAACACCAGCCGTGTGTGGAGTGTCACAGGCATGGAGCAAAGGCTGGTGAGACATCCTGTGCACCCGGACCGTGAGCCTGCCGCAGCGCGGGTAACACCCTACATCCCCAGGGGTTTTTTAAACAGAAATGTTTAGCAGGGGGAGGGCCCGGGTGGAGCAGAAGCAGGGACGCAGTCACGAAAGCTCTCCAGGCAAGAAGTGCGATGGGAAAGTAAGAGACACAAATAAAATGCTGGGGGCCAACACCCAAGGGAATGGAGGTAACTTCTCTCACTCCGAACCCTTAAAATCAGGAGAATCTACCAGGGGTGTCCAACCTTTTGGCATCTCTGGGCCACAGGTTGGACACCCAATGTTTTATACATGGAATATACCTGCTATCACTGTTAATATGCAAAATTCAATTTACTAAATTTTAATATATTAATATTCTTCACTTTACTCCTTCTATCAGGGTTACTGAGTGACAAAAATCTAAAATTTCCTAAATGGCAGGGCTAGAGAGAAGCCTGCTGGGACTCTCCCCCCTGCTTGTGGCCGACCATGAGCCCTGCGACCTCCTTGTGAGGCGCAGGCTCTGGGGTGTCTACAGCCTTTCCACCCCCATCCTCCGCCACTCCAGACCAGGTGAGTGGGGACCAGTTGGCTCGGCGGGGACAGGCGGGGGGAGCACGGGCACCAGCAGGACGGGAGTCGGCTGGGCAGCCCACCTGTGCGGCTCAGGACGCTGAGCACCAGGAGCCAGGGACCTGCGTAGCCTGCTGATGGTCAGGCCCGGCCCCTCTCTCCTGGATCTTCAAATGAGCCCACGGAACTCTTTAAAGACTCTTTCCCCAAACCTGTTATTCTTTGTACCCTCCCTTTGTCAAAGAATTCTGCAGAGGAAGGAGAGGCGCCAGGCTCCACTGTGCCCTTTCTTGCCCAGGTCATTCCACACTCAGCCGTGAGCGGAGCCCCGACAAACGCCTGGGCCTCCCTGTGCAGCCAGGCCAGCACCTGGGGCCACCGCTGCTGCCGCAAAGACTTGGGCCCCAGCTGACCTACCACTTGCTGAGTCACTGACTTGCTGAGCCGCTGGGAAAGTGGGCGGGAAAGGAGGTGCGGCCCCTCCTGTGTATTTACAGACACTTTGCTTTCAGCAGGGACAAAGGGCAGCAGAGCCTTGAGGACTGGGCGCTGGCAGAGATCACGGTGGCCTAGAGGCCGGCACCTCTACAGAGGGAAGAGGGTCTTGACGGCCCCTGGGAGCAATGCCCGCTCCTCCCTCTGTCACGCGAGCACCGCCACAGTGCTGAGCGCTTGTGATCAAAGCACGCATGTCATGTGGCTTTTCAGTAGCCGTTTCAGGAAGCCAGCCCCACCGTGTGCCCAGTGTCGACACACGGCGCCAAGAGCCCCGCCTTCACGTCAGTCACCTTGCAAGGCCTTGAAGCCCTGGAGCGGGACGCGTGTGGACCCTGTCACGAACTGCAGGAGCCTGGCCCTCCTCTCCTCGTCAAAGGTCTCCACTGCCTGCCAGAACCACCTGACGACGTTGCTGTCGGCCACACAGTGCTTCAGCCGGGTGTTGGACTTCCAGTCGTTCAGGTCTATTTTATCCAGGCCACCGATTATCAACTGGCAAGGGGTTTAGAGGTGAGTTATTTCTAAAGTGCATAACGTTGTGACATGTGCCTCCCGATCCCAGTAGACACCCGGTCTTGCCCTCACTGGCTCAAACATCCCCACTCTCCCTTCTTGCCCTGTGTCCGCCCGGAGCCCCGACAAACGCCTGGGCCTCCCTGTGCAGCCAGGCTGCACACCCAACACATGCACCTGCCTCGAGCCCTTTGACAGCCATTTGGCTCATCTCGCTGTGCGCTTACCTCTAGTTCCTTCTGGTCGAAAGGCTTCAGTAAGTGTTGAGGAATGAGCTCATTAAACCCTTTCTGAAGAGCTAAGAACTGGGCTTCGATTCCTCTCATAAACCTCCAATTTACATATAACCTGGAAGAAAAATTCACAAGTTGGAAGCAATGCCAATGGTTCATGAAAAAACTTTTTCTCCATTAGCAGGCTCCGACATCTCTGGAGTCCAGTGCCTTGCCCACTGACATCCCCGAAACCCACCAGGTGGTGGCGCTAAACCCAAGTTACAGGGTCAAATAAACCACACCTGCCCTTATATATTCTGATGCATCGCTGGAAATAGCAACAGGATTTAACCTGACCTGTTCCAGCAACTGCTGTGATGGAAAAGCACCATATAGTTGAAAATAAAACACAGGACCCTGGGAGCCAAGCTCGGAGGTGCCCGTGTTTCCAAGTCTTCACTGTAAGTGACCAGGCATTTATCTGTCTTGATTTGAGGGGGAGGAACAGACTACAACGGAGCAGAAGTCTTGGAGACTGAGCTCAAGGAATGTGTAGGCTTCCTCCTCTCCCCTGTGCTCTGGTACCTTCACATACAGAACCGAGGGGGGTCACTTGCAAGTCCTCCCCCTGCTGGGGCTCCAGGGTCCTTACCCCCCTCACCAGGTCAGCCCTCCCACCGGGCCTCCCCACGTAGGGCTCCTACTGCTGAGCCCGACGGTGTCGGGAGTCTCTTCTGTGAGGGGACTCTGGTCGTGAGTGCTGGCGGGGACAGGTAAAGCGCACACAGCAAAGGAGCCTCCACAAGCAACTGTGAACCCCGCTGTGACCTGTGACAGTCCTGGGCACCTGGGCATCCCCACTGGTGACCACCAAGATTCCCCAGAACGTTACCGGACATATTCTTTCTTGTTCTCCTCTGTGACAGGAACGTTTCTGCCGTTCGGTTTCAGTTCGTGCTGAAGAATCCTCCCGAAAGCGTTGTGCTCCACGCAAAAAGTGTGGTCCAACACAGGGGTGATATCGTTTTCTCTGTGGCAAGCAGGAGAGAAGATGGATGTCAGTTAGACCTTTGCCACCACGCAGCAGTGAGTGAAACATTAAATGGAACAATCGGTAGGAAGAGAGAGAGCATTTCCTGACTGCCAGATCCAGAGAGGGGGCCTCCGGCGGGCCCAGAACCCCGGTACGTGCAGAGGGGCGTGGGCGCAGGCGGAGCCGGGGCCACAGCCCAGTTCCAGGTGTGTCCCTGACTCGGTTTGCTCTTTCATGGGGGTGGGGGGGAGCGAGGATGGTACCTCTACCAGCCTATGATTTCACGGGGCACCTGGTTGCTTTGAAAACAGTCTATGAGCAGAACGGAGGGAGTCATGCAGAGGGAACTGAGTCAAAGGGACAGCCACCTGCAGAAAGCACGCCTGGGAAGTGCTGTTCCCCCTTTGAAGGCAGCCTTTTCAAGTTCATCAGTTCAAACAAGCCCTTGAAAGTGAGAACTGACTCCTTAATCTGCCATATTTCTTGAAGCAGAGTGAGAGGCTTCCCACAGGATGAAGTCCCTCACCCCCTCGGATCCCCCCACCGCACTGGGATGTGTAAATGAGGCCAAGCAGACGCAGGGTACAGTCAAGAGACCCGACGCCCGTCAGCTCCTCGGCTGGCCCTCCTGTGAGACCGACCCAGGGGACACCTGGGGTTTGCCGCGGAGCTGCGCCTGCTGCTTCTAAGTGTTCAGGATAATTCTAAAACAGGGCGGCTAAGTATCCATTTTGTTTTAATACTTTCTTGTATCAAAGTATTTGAAACAAGATATTCCTTAGATACTAGTTTTGTTTTTAATACCTGCTCTCTAGAGATTAACTGGTGACACTTTAGTGTCAACCACCAGGTCTGTGGATTAACATTCGTTATCATGTGTTAATAATTCAAGGAAATAACCAAAGAAACTGGTGCATGAAGAGAAGCTGGCAAAACATCATGAGGAAAATAAGTCAATTAAATATTTTTTGTTAAATCTACTTTTATATTTCTGGCCATAAAACAAGAATTTATTTCTCTTCTCCAATTTCACACGCATCCCCAACACACACACACACGCATGCACGCACGCACACGACAAACGCATCCTGTGTCCACTAAGACGGAGGCTCTGTACGAATGTTCAGTACTTACAGAATCCACACTAAGCTCTTATGTAGCTCTGGGTCCACTGATTCCAGGTCAGAGAGCTGGATGGGCTTCCCCAGTAGCTGCTTGTAGAAGGGAACCGTGAAACCCCCATTTATGTAGTGTCCATGGAACACAGCCAGACCCATGATCCGACCGACAAAGTGGAAATAAGACAGATGGTCCTGTAGGGGGCAGCAGAGAACATAAATTCATTTAAAAAAGTGGTCAAGGTGGTTGCCCTATGGTCTCCCCAGCTTCTTGGGAGTGTCCCACAGCCACTGACCCGGAGCCAGTTCCTCACACCCAGCGCTCAGGTCCAGATGAAAGAAGGTCGGTCAGTAAGTCTACGGAACATTTCATCTGCTCTTAGTTCAAACACCTTTTCCTTAGAATTGCTATATACTTTGGGGGACCCAGTGCAAAATGAAAATGCAGAGGCCCTTATTTAAAAATTATTAAGAATTCCAATATGGCAACAGCAGAGATTGAAACCAAGCCCGGCCCTTCTGAGTGGGGCCTGGTCACTGGCCGCACTTCTCCCTCCTGTTGCACCGAAAAGAAAGAGCAAAGGGCAATGCCCCTTCTTCCTCTGCCACCCACCCCTAGTCCCACAGGAAAGAAGGAAATCAAAGGAGGAGAAAAAGAACAGAGGAAAATAAGCATGGACAATTTAAGTAAAAGGACCATTTAAAAACCAGAGCTGTCTTTTCCTTTCTTAAAGATTTTATTTATTTATAGAGAAAGGGGAAGGGAGGGAGAAAGAGAGGGAGAGAAACATCAATGTGCAAAAGAAACATCAACTGCTTGCCTCTCCTACAGGCCAAAACTGCAACCCAGGCATGTGCCCTGATGGAATCGAACAATGACCTTTCACTTTGTGGGATGAAGTCCAACCAACTGAGCCACACTGGCCAGAGCCAGAGCTGTCTGTTTTTTAACTAAAGAGGGAACCTCACATTTCTACTTTCAGGTTGGAATTATAATCAGATAATTAGTCAAAGCTTAGTTTCATATTGTTATAGACTCAGTCATGTCCCAAGGCTTGCAGGGTGGAGCTGGTCTGTGACTTGCACGGTGGCAATGACGGCAGGACGCAGCCCTGCAGGAGACTCTGGCCTTGGCTCGGTCGCTCAGCTGCACCGATTTCCTCTTCTCTAAAGCAAGCAGCCATGAGTGCCAGCACTGGCTGCCTAAAAGGCCTGCTATGGGAGCAGTCCGGTTTGACTGGGAGGAGGACAGACTTCGACCCTGAAACCCACTTCTCAGAATGAACCCGCCAACAAACGTGGGCATTGTCCCAGAGCTCCTGCAAAGGGCAGTGAGGTGCAGCTCGAGGTCCCTCTCGTTCTCCTTGAACATAACACACCCAACGATCCCAGTCACTAGAAACGCAGGATGGACATCATCTTAATCCGGTGCTTGCTCTACCATTTTATTTATCGCAGGCCTCGAGTAAGTTTACAGTGAATAAATCCCAAACGGAGATTGAAACTGAAAATCCATTAAAAAAAAAAACCTTAACTTAAATTCCCGACTTCTTTATTTGTGAACACTTACAGGGTTGATGGAAGAGTCTGGGTTGATCTGTAGCGTGTAAATGTTGTCCGTAGAATACTGGAAGAGTCCGTAATATGGATTCAGCATTTCATGGCACAATAAATAAAGCCACTCCCTAGGAACGAAAGCAACAACATAAACAAAACATTTTATATGTGCTCAAATTTCTGGTTTTGCATCCTAACAAAAGGACTGAACCACGAGAGGCCAGAACTGGCACAGATACCAGGCTGTGAGAGTGCGATCTGTACGGCCCGGGGGAGCAGGCCTGAATCGGGAAACCGGTGCTGGGGGTGCTGGGCACGGTCTTCCCGGCCAAAGGGCCAGCAACTCTGAACTCAGAAAGAACCGTGGTTGACTAGCACTAGCATCACCATGAAAGTACAGTATTCTCAGCTGTTTACTTGTCAGAGTTTTCTTGGCTACTTTGCAAAGATCAGCAGCTCAGGTGATGATGTTAATGATGCGGTTATAATGGACCAAAGTGCAATACAAAGCAGTATAATCCTACTTTTATTTAAAAAGTGTGTGTACATGCACACACAGAACAAAAAATACATACGCAGAGCACAGAAAAAATGGGAAGGACTTACACTAACATGCTGAATCGTAGCAAACCTGAGAATTAGCATTCTGGGCCATATTCATTTTTTTCTTTTGCTTTCTAGTTTTTAAATTTCCCATCGATCATAATACATAATAATGTTCAAATAAGTTGAAAATATTTCACAGTCTACAGAGGCAGGGATTGTTTAAGAATGTTTTTTCCCCTTTGTACGTTCTGTCCTATTGAATTCTTTTTTTTTTTTAACCATTAACATTTATCATGTTTATAATTTAAAAACTAGTTTAAAACTTATAAATATTAATTGCAAGAATTAAAAAAACCTGGATGGGGTGTATAAGAATGAAATTATTTTCTGAATTCCTTTATGTTTGAATCATTTCTGTATTAAAAAGAAAACCCAAATCAAAAACAAATTTAAAAAGCACTCTAAATAGAAGCCGAATGTTTTTAAAAAAAAATTTTATTTATTTATAGAGAAGAAAAGGGAGAGAGAAAGAGAGGGAGAGAAACATCACTGTGTGGTTGCCTCTTGTGTGCCCCCTACCGGGGACCTGGCCTGAAACCCAGGCCTGCGCTCTGACTAGGAATTAAATGAGTGACCCTTTGGTTCACAGGCCGGTACTCAGTCCACTGAGTCACACCAGCCAGGGCAGAAGCAGTGTGTTTTGATTGCTCTGGCCAGGCCATGAGAAGCCAGGTATGGGGAACCTATAGAGACACCTGTGACTGTTCTCTGTGCAGCCTTTTATTCTTTCTGTTCAAACTCCTTTCAAATGGATATATCTCATTAAGAGAGCGGCCCCAAATTCTATTCTGGGTTTCTTTACTGTTTCAAATAGAAAAGACAGAGACCTGAGAAAGAATAGCAAAGGACAAGCACGAATGCAAATAATCTAAGAAAACGGCGAGAATTCACAAAAAAAATGATCAGACCAAAACAAAGTTAATTTATCAAACTCCAAAGAACTGAAAGGCACTGCCAAGCAGGTAAGACTCCAAACATTATAAAGTCTCTTGACTAGAAAGGCAAAATTTCCCAGCGGTAGTCCTTTGATTCACCCCCAAGTTTGGGGGTTTGGATTTGAGAAGAATCATTTTCATAAAAACCAGGGACCTGCAGCTGTCTAGACAGGAAGTGATTAAAATACAAGCAAACATTCTCATCAAGCCATGGACCAGGGAAAGAGGCATATTAGGAATGTTCTGGAAGGGGGAAGGGAAGAGCTACACTGGCAAAAGTGAGAGAACAGAAATGGTGCAGAACAAACAGTGGGAAAATGAGAGCAGACCAACTCTCAGTGCGTGGAGAATGCGCCGACGCGCGAGCTCAGTCCCTCCCTCCTGTCTACAAAGAAGTGCTCCCCTCTGGACCCGAGCAGGAACCCGAGGGCTGAAACAGCAATCCGAGGTCAAACTGGAGGTGCCAGAACCGCGGTCTGCCGCTCCTTCCGCCGGGGCACCATGTTACTCAAGGAAGCCACACAGTCCATCTGTATGTGGAAGACTTGGTAACTATGGAAAATGCAGAAGAACGGAGCTCCTTCCAGACCAAACCAAGCTATGCACACATGTGCCTAGGACTCTAAAATGCCAGCCGTGCAAACAAATAATGGTAAATTGAAACAGTCTGAGATACTGAACTCTTGAGACTATAAAGGGTAATAGCGCAGGTGTGGAAGTGGCCCAGGCCTCACAGTCAGGACAAACACTAATGACTAAGTAGGAAGGTTCGCACCTGGAAAGGGGGACTGGAAGCCCCAGCCTCGAGCCAGGAAATGGACTGTGTTGCCACGGACAAATGGAAGTCACGTTTGCCAAAAGAAGGGTGGTTTCTAGAATCAAGATTGGGAAGACCAAGGGAGAAACTTGGGGCAATCTTGAATGGAAAAGTGTTCCCCATGGACAGGCAGTGCCCATGTGAGCTCAGTTAAGAAAATGCAGGCTTTTTTCTGCACCCATTACCCCAGACAGACTCAGGACAAGTGAGGGGTGGGGTGCAGGGGGAGACGATGTGAAGGGGAAGTTGGAGGGATGGTTCTATTCTAGGAGCAGAAGGCACATTGAGACTTCCTTCTTTTTGATTCTTTCCTCTTGGCTGCCGAAAAACATCTCATCTCTATTCAGAAACCAAATGAGACCGTGTTATGATGCTTATCAGGACATAACTGTGCTCAGGAGAGCTGCTGCAGGGCTAGGGACCGGCCTGCACTTCCTAAACTGGGACGGTGAGACTCCCCTGCCCTGGCCCCACACGGCAGGGCCGCTACGACGTGTCCTCACGCACTGTGGGCCCTCCTTTGTGGCATCTACCAGGCTTGGGGGCCCATGCCGACTTCGGGCATTCTCTGTTGCCTGAATCCCATTGCGCTGAGAACCCCTGTGCACAGGGGGCACCGAGGGGCAAAGTGGGCAGAAAACATGGACTGTGCCCACAGTTGTCTTCCTGGGACATGGCAGAGACTCAAAGTTTAAAAGTTAATGAATAAATACAATGATTACAGGGCAGACAAATTATAGGGGAGCTCTCATTTAAGAAGATTCAATCACATGGTAGATACGTTGTTTAATTCTTTTATTTTATAGTTTATCCATAAAATTCGATGAATAAGTATGCTACTGTGATCTAAAAAACAAGATAAAAAAATGTTGAAGCACTGGAAGAGAGGTTGGGGGAAACTCCCAGAAGTGGGGGTCAACGAGAGGGGAGAGGAAGATGGAAAATAAAAGCCAGAAGATGACAGACATAAAGGATCATCCAGGGAGTCCCAACATTGGGGTCACAGGTGTTTCAGAAAGACTAAAACAAGGAAATGGGGGGGGGGAGGTGAAATTATGGAGGAGGAAAATCCATTCATGCAGCAGATATTTATGGAGACAAGTGCTCGCCAGGTGTCAGGCGCGCTCTAGGAACAAGACAAGCTCCGACCACAGGCGCAGCGGCGTGTCTGCTGGAGACGAGACACGAGGAGGAAGCTCACCCAGCACCACACGCCAGGGGGGTCAGTGCACTGTTGGGAAGGCCTCTCTGAGGGCGACCTGAGCGAAGGGACAAACGAGCTATGTGACATCTTGGGGATGGGTTCCAGGCAGCAGGAACGTTGAAGGTGAAGGCCCCAAGGCCTGAAACACCTGTCAGGTAGCAGGGACGGCAAGGGGGAGCGGCTGAGGGAGGGGGGCAGCAAGGCTGCTGACGGGGCTGGGGGGAAGCCACAGGGCAGGCGGTGTTGCGGGGGAGGCCTGTGGGGCTCAGGTTCAGGGGAAAGGATCTGCGGGGTTTTTAGAAAGACACTGGCTGCTGCTGGGAAGTGGCCTGCTGAGATGCGTGAGACAACAGGGAGGTGAGTGAAGGGACCACAGCAGCAGCCAAGAGCAAGGCAGGGGCAGAGTGGGGGTGGGGGGGGCAGGGTGTGTGTGGCAGGGGAGCTGCAGGAGGCAGGGCTCTTTGGAGGGTCTTCAAGGCTGGGATGGGCGCTGGGAGGTAAGCGAAGTCCCGGGAGAGTTAAGGGTGACTCCAGTCTGACCCAGAGGGACCGAGTGGGGCCGTTCAGGGAGGTGGGAAAAGACTAGCGAGGAGCTGGTTTGAGAGGGAAAGTCAGAAATTTTGAACTGTTACGTCTAAGATGCTTTAGAAATATTCAAGAGGGACAAGAAGCAGTTGGGTAAACAAATGTGGGGTTGAGGTGAGAGACACATTCGTGCACCGCCAGCGCTGACAGAACTGAAAGCCGCGGGCTCCGCACCCAGACCGGGGAGGCGGAGACCCGGGAGGCACCAGGGGTCCGGCGAGGTGTGGCTCGTGGTCACCTCGAGCCCAAGGGCAGAAAGAGCTGTGTGGAGCAGGTTCCAGGAAAAGCGAGGTGCGTGGGAGCAGGAATGGGGGTGCACACAGCCCCTCTGAGAGGCTTTGCTGCACAGACAGCAGAGACATGGGGCTGTGACCGAGAGTTAAGTGTTCCTGAACACATTTTTGTTTGTCCTGGAATTCACAGTTGTCTTCGCTTTGCTTTATTGTCTTTATTGCCTCCTTAAAGCTCAGGCAGGCAGGGGATATGGTATCCAAGGAAGGTTTGGGGGGCATGTTTGCTTCTTTTAAGAAGGGAGTTGCTGTAGCACATTTATATGTGGATGAGGTTAAGCCAGGAGAAAGGACATTTTGAAGAAAGGAGGTACATGTGAAATAAGAATAGGAGCCAAGGGCCTGGGATGCACTGTGCAGGGGGGTTGCTCCGCAACAGGCACAGGCCAGGGCCATTCAGGGCCATAGTAGGAAAGGCCGAGCCTACAGGTGCAGATCTAGGCTGTCGGGATGTTTGGTCGTGCTGCGGAAACTCCTCAGATTGCTGTTGCCTCCGTCAAATAAGCGAAGTCAGCAGCTAAGAGCGAGGCTGGGAGAAGTGAGGCTGGAGATCTGACAAAGAGAACAAGAGGAGCCCCCTGGGCTGGGTGGCTCAGCTGGTTGGAGTGTCATCCTGTACACCAAAAGGTTGCAGGTTTGATCCCAGGTTGGGACATGTACAGGAAGCAATGTTTCTGTCTGTCTCTTGTCTCTCTCCCTTCCTCTCTCTCTAAAGTCAGTGAACATGACCTCGGGTACAGATTTAAAAGAAAAAGAGAGAGAAAACAGGAGGCATGACGAGAGAACCAAAACCTCCTTGAGGCTGTGGCCATCGACATAGAGAAAGGCCAGTGGCGTGGAAGTGTGTTTGCTCTGAGCCGTGTTCCTCTGCTCAGCTAAGGCTCAGGGCAGCCTGAGGATGCAGTCATTCAGAGCTGGGATTTTACCAAGCAAGTACAGCAAATGGAAAGGAAAGCAAGAGAGTGATTACAATGGTGGACTATGAGGAAGGAGGAGGTGAGAACAGGAGGGGGCAAAAAACAGAAAAAGGGTGGTAGAATCTACAGGGGATGGATGGTCCTGGATGGGGTCAAATAACTTCTGGTGGATAAGGGACAGTTCAGTGATGCTGGGTGCTGGAAGACAGCACAGCAATGCCTTCAAAGTTCTGAATGAAAATTATTTTCTTCCTGGAAGTCTATAAAATGCCAAACCATCAAAGTGTAAATTAAAAGACATCTGTGGACACAAGATCTTAGATAAATCATCTCCCACACACATAACCTTTCTAAGAAAGTTACTCGAGGATATACTTCAGTACCACAAGGGAGTAAGCCAAGAAAGAGGAAGCTATGGGATCCATAAAACAATGGCTCTAACCCAGAAACACAGTGAAGCCCCATGATGACAGCTGTGCCCAGAGAATCATCACTCAGCATGGACAGAGTCTCCCCGAAGGGGGGGACATGGAGAAAGGGGGTGACCGGGGATGGACAAAAACTAAGTTTAATGGGACAATAAAAATGAAGCCTGGTTTAAAAAGAAGAAGAAAAAGGAGCAGAAATTCTTGGAAAAATTAAAATCTGTTCAAAAGAACAAAATAAATTATGGAATATCATCTAACCCCTCAGTGAATATTTACATTGTCAAAACAGTAAACAATGTAATTGATCCTTAAGTCTTAAAAATAAAAGGTACACAAACATAAGAGATACTTACTTAGTTTTGGATACAAAACAGAATATAAATCTTAACTTTGACATTTTAAAAGTAATATCACAAGTGACAGAATGTAAAAGAGAAATGGTGGAAGCTACGCTGAAGGAGAAGTCAGGAGTATTACCATCCTTTTCTTAGGAAAAATAAGAGGTCAAGAGATAATGCCTCCAATTGATAAACCAAACAATAATGGCAAAAGCACATTATGCAAAATTATAAAGACAATGACAGAAAGTCTAAAAATATTGATATTACTAAATAGGGAAGTGAGAGTATTAGATTAGATCCTCCCCACAATCATTATCCATCCAGTTTACCTGTGTCTGTGACCACAGCCATGAAATCAATAGATATTACCTGAATTTGATCAATTTGGTGATATAAAGATATCTATTAGAATAAACTGTTGAAAGAGCAAAAAAGCATTATCTTAAAGGTCCCCAGAGGTAAAACAGGAAATAGAAACTTTTCATTATTGTAGTTGAATTAAAAAAGTTATTTCCAGAAATTACTTTGACCAAAATTTCATTTGGAAAAATTCCTTTGCTGTGAATGCAACACCCGCGCCTTCTCCCAGGCCTGGGAGTCCCGGCGTGTGCAAAGTGGGGCCGCCTCCCCTGCTCATGTCAGGAGCGGGCCCTTCGTGGTTCAGGTTCGGTCGCTCCAGAGGAAGGGGTGCTAAGTGTGAAAGGCTGGTCCTCGCTTTATAAAAAGTAAGTGAATGGCGAGGATCATGGACACTCCAATAGGTAATGGCCAGAAGCTAGTGTTCGCATGCTCTTAGGCGTTCATATTCTGAAAAAGCTCACTGAAGGCCACATTTGAAGTCCTGACTGTTCCAAGATGAGCACCAGAAGGAAGGTGGCAAATGACTGCAAATATTTTATTAGTTATCCTGAAGTCCACGCAGCAGAAAGGGTGAATAAATTAGCATCTCACCTCGCCACTCCACCGTAATCCAAACCTTCTTCCCCACGGAATTTCACCATTAGTCGTTTTTTCAAGTCTTTTGGTCTCATCTTCATTATCTGGCGATAAGACTCCTGTATACCAAAATTAGTTTTAGAGTGAAGAACTTTTCTTATTCTTAACATAATAAAAAAGATGAAAGGGTATTGATAATGGAGCCTGATTCAAAATAAACATTCATTGAAAGCCGCGCTTTATCTGGTTTCTCTTCCTAATGTTTATACAGGGAGGAGCAAGTGTAGGTTTATAGCAGTTAATATAGAAAATACAATAATTAATAAATAAAAATACAAGAATAAACCCTGTGTTTTGCATCCTCGCAACTGTAACCTTACTTGTACCCCTCCCGGTTTCCCTCAGCTTTTCTCCCACTGTTTCTGGCTCATAAACCACAACAAAATAAGCGCGTCCTGGGCGATACTGCACCTACAGGAAGCACATTCACTGTCAGCACAGCCACTCAGGACTTCAGAACAAACGTCCTTGTTAGAGTTGATTTTCTCTATGCTTACTAATTTCAATGTGTTCTATGAACACTTCATATATTTTCACCAAAATGAAACCATCGCTAGAGAGTCTGAATGTGGAAAGACTTCTGAACCTGTTTTTATACCTGAAGTGAAAAATCACATGACTTCCACTGAGTCCAAAGGCAAGAAAGGGTTTGTATGAGACATAAAGTAGCCTACCCAAAACATAGAAAACATGTGGCCAGCCCGATATTCCCTCAGAGTCAGCATTTTGAATAGAACTAGCTAAGTGTTTGTAGATGTTTCCAAGTGATAAGGCACTTAAGAATCTTTTCATGCTTTACATTTAATGTAATTCAAACTTTGCCATCCCAAGAGGGAAAGAGGAGATTGGGTGGAAATGATCTGGCAGCAAAATGTCAATAATTCAGCTCCTTTCTAACCCTGGCAACCATGTAAGACGGCTCAATGGGCCAGCCCAGGCACTTCAGCGGACCCACTCATCCAACACTGGCTGCGCACGAGGACGAGCACGGCCTTCGCCGTGGACAGGAGCCAGGCTCCCCGCAGCCGCCGCCCCGGCCTCCCTCGGGGCTGCGGCCCAGGGAGAGCCTGTGCTCACTTCTCATCCAGCCTCGGTTGCCAGTGACGGGTCACGCCTGCCAATGATTCCACAAAGGCCGGCAGGTTACGGCCCAGACACAGTGGGGATTTCACCTTAGGATCACATTCCTTGAGAAATGGGCCCTGTCCACAAGAGGGTCCTGCCTGTTCAGGGACCCTGACCCCACAGAGGGGCCGCATAAGGGGCAGAGCCTTTCCCAGGAACCATCTGATCTTCCTATTTCCGGAAGAGACAACAAGGAGGCTGCTTGGCCACTAAGCTCTGAGGAGGCAGTGCCATTAGATCAAATTTCGTGTGAGGCCAAGGCAGAAGGAGCGACTGGCGCTGAGGAAACTGCAGGAATGGAGGATCCGCGTAATATGGATGAGGCATTTACAGTATGCAGTTCTCTCTGTACTCATCTCTGGGTTTTTACCCCAGGAACCACCTGAGTTTTTAAACTTTACCACAGAAGAAATACGGTTTCCTCCCTACACAGGCACTGGTCCTGACAAAACCCTGCATTTCACAGAGTAGTAAACTCAGTATCTGAAACACCAAACAGAAAGAAGAGCTCGCTGAAATGCAGAAACTGCTTACGGAGCCGCCCCTTCAAGCACCTTAGAAACGAAGGGCCCTCAAGGAGGCGATTTCTCAGTCCCCGTCACCTGCTTTGTTTAACACAAATGCAGTCTATGCCTGACTGCTAGTTGCACTGAATTCCATACCTCAAATATTTCTTCTCTGGATACTTCGATGCGGCAATGGCCAGCTTGAGGTTGCTGCAATGATAGCTCGTGTCTGAGGACCTTCAGCTTCTGAACTAAATCTCTTTCGTATCTCTGAGCAGGAAGCTCCTCGTCCTCCACGGAGCCCTCACTGGGCAATGGCAGCGGCTGGCTGGGCTCCTTGAGTTGGCACTGGTGACTTGAGAAGAACAGAGCACCAAAGTCACTCCAAAAGCAGCGGCCGAGGGGCTGCAAGCAATTCCTCCCATACCAAAGGGAGCGAGAAGAGAGTTCATTACACAGCACTTTAAGGAGACATTTTTTTCTCTGATGCACAGATAAGTAAACACTGCTGGTGAACACCATTAGCCCAAATATAGGTCCAGGATGCAGTAAAGGAGCTAGCCCACTTTCAAGCAACAGATTATCATACGTTATCGTTGCTCTTACTAGAAACAGCAACTGCTATCAGTTATCATCGAGTCTGCAGCTGAGACTGACCAATGCACTGTGAGATGTGCCTTGGCAGTTAGAATTAAATGGAGTTGGTGTGAAACATTGTAAAAACAGATTATAGTGGTTGGGGGCGACACACGCAAGGGCAAACGGCTCAGTGAAATCTAATGGTAACCAGTCCTCATCTTCAGAATCAACAGATTGCTAAGCCCACTCATTAAAAGGAAAATTTCACTGAAATAAAAGGACTAGGACTAGCAGAGGGACAAAACGGCATTTGTCTTGTTCAGGTTTTGCTCCTAATGTCAGTTGTCAGTGAGGAGAGCCATGGGGGCTCTTATGTTCTGAGAACACAGCAACCTGGAGCGCCATGTGGGAGCCAAGACAACTCCCAAGGCCAGTGGCCCCGGAGGGGCAGGCCCGGGAAGAGGGCCAACTGCGGCGGCCCTTCTGGCCTGGGACGAGCAGGTCCTACGGGCAGGGAGCCTCGCCTTTCTCTTCTCACCCGAGAGCCATACAGCTCGCCACAGGCTGCGCGTGGGCGCGTCCTTCGTGAGCCTGCCTGCCCTGCTGTCTCAGCAGCTCTAACTTCGGCTGCAGGCAAGCAGACGGTGGCAAGAGCAGCAAGACAGGGCTTCAGTGCTGCTCCGCTCCTGAGAATTAAGACAGGTGACCGCCCCCTGAACAGCTATCATAGTTTGCTTATGCTGATTCTCCACTAACAGACAATACAGTGGATAAAGAAAACTATTAGAACACATTCAATGATAAAGGTAAGAAGTCAACAAAGATTGTATAAAAGTCTTACTTCATGATGTGGTGTAACCTTGGGTCTGTAAACTGGGTTGTTCGGTTATTATGATCTACAAAATATATTCTCCCAGAAACGGTACTTCTGACTTCCCAACCTGGTGGCAGTGGTCCAAGTTCATCACAATTCACACTGTTAAGGTCTCTACCGAAAGGGAAGATACAGAGAGGTTTGTCCATCTGAGCATGGCGGCGTACGACCAAAGCTTCAGCCAGAGGGACCGCGGGAGCCCCTGTCAACATGGCCGCGTCCCGGCTTTGCTAAGAGGGACAGTCCCGGTGCTACTTACACCGAACTCACGCGGAATCCAGGCCTCTGCGCCGCAAGCGGCAGCAAAATCCAATAGATAAAAACAAAACTTTCAGAACCTAGAACCGCGAGAGGGCCTGCGGTCTACACGGGGAACAGCACATCTCCGACCACATTATCAAGACCAGAGGAGCAGGGAATACCTGCCGCTGCTGGAACCGTCGGAACCCACAGGCTCAACAAAATGCTCAAGGTCAGAAGGGCTGCTTCACTGAAAAGCCCCAGACAGCACACGCTTTCTAAAGCTGACGGGGATGCGGGAATGTGTGTTCGGAATCTCACAGTTCTAAACTGCTGCGCTGGGCAGAGGCATTCCCATTTTTTAGTTGGCTTTGTTAAGTAACTGTTTCTAATTCCAACCTCCTGATTAATTACTTCAATGCAATCCACAGTCATATGGGAGCACAGCATTAGTGACCAAGATGCTTGTCTAATTAGCACAAAAGCCTGACATTTCTGACAGTGGGTACTGAAGAGACACCTAATCCATTTGCATGTAATAGTTCCATTCTAATTATAGATACTGAATCTTAAATTTAAGACAGGCTGGAAAATCAAAGGCAGGAGGCTTGTTCTCAGATGAAACAAATTATAATAAAAAGGAAATGAGCATTACTAAAAAATGTTATTAGGTAGTAATGCTATTCTAAATAAAAAAAAAAATTTAAAAGCAAAGCAAAGCAAAGCAAAAAGAAACATCACTCCGTTTCAGGGTGGGGCGGGGAGCTCTGACCTGGGCTCAGGTGTACGGCCTTGTAGAAGGAATTCGTACAGAAAAGCTTCATCTCCCCCAGGAATGGTCCCCAAGGGACTGAGGCAATAGGGACAGTAAAGTAGAAGACAGAAAGGGTGACAGAGTCTTTATATTTCCTTTTTAACGCTTTATTATGGAAAATTTTAAGCATATAAAAATAGAGAAATCATAATGAATAATCAACTTTAACAATTATCAAGTCACTGTCAACCTGTTTTGGACACCCCCCCACATTCACTGCCCCACCCCAATTGTTTGCAGGAAATCCCAGACGCCATATCATTTCATCCATTAATGTGTGTAGTTTAAAATGAGAACACGTCTTGGAGGGGTGAGGCCTGCTTTGGTCGTGTGATCTCACCTCCAGGTTCAGGGCTGTTTTCTAAAGGACCCCTGGTTCCAGCAGCTGCCGCCTGACCAGGTGGAGGGTCTGGAGGTGGTAGCAGAGCCAGGACCCGCCCAGAGAGCCCGAGGCCAAGGCCCCACGGCAGGCGTCCCCTCTGCGCTGCCAAGCGTCCAGGTTTACATCTTCTAACCTAAGGGGCTCTTAGCCAGTCACGGGGTCCAGACAAGCCCTGGAAAACCGGCTTTGGTGCGCACTTTAGAAACCTACCTTGGTATCCGGGGGTCGTGCCACGTGCTCACTCCAGTCTGTGTGTGCAGGAAGTAAACTTGCCCCTGCACTGTTGTTCTTTGTTCTGTACAAAAAAAATTGGGGGATACAATTAGTTAAATTCAATTCCAAGGAGAGTTTTCAACCAGTCCTCTGAGCACAGAGTCTAAGCTTCTTTTCAACATTGTTTCAAGTCACCCAGAAATGGAAGGGAAAGGGCAGCGTTAGCTTCTGCCAGGCTTCCTCGGGTCGCGCGCCTGCACCCGCGTTCGGGCCTGTCTTCCCTTCTCCATCCATGCCCGGGGAGCCGGGGCTCTCCTCAGCCAGGGCCCTGGAGGGGCCGCTGTGGGTGTGTCCGCCACCTCAGCACCGGCCTTACTGTGCGCTCTATTGCCGCCGCTCACTCTTCCTTCTGGTATGATCTGCCGCATCTCCACCACATTCCTCCTCCATGAGGTTCTCCCTCTGCGGTTGTCCCAACGATCCCTTCTTTCCACTCTTACCCCATATTGTCCTTTCCACATTCAAATCACAGAGCACTACAGACACCCTCATCGGGCCCATGTACCATCCTGATTTTCTTAGACATTCTTCTGCCTAAAATATTCATGGGATTGCTAATCTGGGAGGCTGGTACAATTGCTGACAAATTCATGAGGAGCGAGATTTATCACCATCTCTTTCTGGTCACTCGTCTTTACACGGATACAAACGTTGTACGCACAGCTCTGCTAACAGCCGTTAAGGCACGTACAGGTTTCTAAAAAAGGTTTCAAAACCTAAAGCTGTCTGCAACGTTGCAGAGAACACTCAGGGTAGCGGGGTGAATTCTCTCACCGTAGCCCTCGGGCAGCTCTGGTGACTGGTGGCCGTGTGGTCGGTTCTGAGGGGTCTGGAGGGACCCCCGGATCTCGGGATTTCGAAGTCGCTGTGCCTGAAGTCTCTGATCTTGACTTGGGGACTCCCCAAACCTGCAGGTGCCGCCCCCCGCAGCAGCGCCAGTGCTGTCTGTGTAGGGGGCGGGCTCCTCCATGAAGCAGCTGAGCGGCCGTCCAGGCCCCGAGTCTTCATAGACGGTTCTGGAAGGGGCAGAGCACAGCACGCATGGGCACACGGGCCGAGGTCAGGGCCTGAACATTCAGCATGGGGCTCTCATATCCATTTATTTTGCTTTTCTTCAACAATTTATAGTGTTCCAAGTGCTTAGTTTTCCAAAATTCATCCTGCCCTATTTAAATAGGCTTTTACATAGGAACAAGTAGCCGAAGGGAGTCACAGGTATGTGCCATCAAAGCCACCTGTGGGACTTCATCTACGGGAAGAGCCGACTGACTGTAAACAACCATCCCTGGACTCTAAGGAGCTCATGAAATGAGATTTGATTTTTCTTTATTTAAAGTCAAATCCAAATACTCCATTTTCGTTTTTATATTCCTCTATAATAAAACTCCTGGTTACATAAAATACTGCAATGACTGTAAGTACTCTTTAACATAAATCTTCACCCCCTGAGCAATTTTGAAGACAATTTGGCCTAATAGGCTATTTTCCCTTAAAGTAAGTACTTTTAAAAAACGTTCCATGTTGAAATATTTCAAATGTATTCCCAGGCCAGGAGAGGAGCCTGCGGGCTCATCGCTCCGCTAGGACAGCGACCGTCTCACGGTGACTGTCCCAAGCCCCCTCTCCACTGAACCATTCTGAAACCAACGCCCACAATTTCCCGTTTCATCCTTAAATATTTCAGCATATACTTCTAGCAGATGAAGACTTGTTCCATTATCATGCCTAAAAAAAATGTACATTAATTTTTTAAAGATCATCAAACACTGGTGAGTGTTCAATTTCTCCAGTCGATTGTCTCAGGTCAGGATCCAGGCGAGGCCCACACGCCCCATCAGTAGGTTTGCCTCTTACCCCTTTAATGATTTAATTCATAGGTTCTCTTCCTTCCTTGGGAGTCATTTATTTTTCTAGCAAGTATTTGTGAAGACACTGGGCTGTCCCCGAACTTCTACCCGGTGGCCCCAACCAGATGGCGCAGGCCGCATCCCCTTGGGGCTGTGCAGCGCACCCTCCTGCCCCGGGATTTCCACGAGGAGCTACCAGATTACCTATAACTACCACCCAGCTTCGTTAATTCACCGGGGATATCAAAATTGGGATAGTGACCAATGAGAGTTTTCAGGGTTCAAGTATTTTAGGGTTTTTTCCTCTCCCTGTGTTATGATGAACATATTAACATTCATTTTTGACAGATTTGATGTGTTTCAACCCATGAGTTATAATTCTTACTGATGCTCAACTGTTCCATCTCTGGCCAGTGGGAACCTCTTTAAACTGGATCCTGAGTCTTTCAGGCACAACCCCACCAGTCTTTCCAGATTCCTTTATAAACAAGGAAACTGATGCCAGTTTTATCCCAAAGCCCTTCCGGCATCTCAAGCATTCAGCACAGAGAGGAGGCGGGAAGGCCGCTGTCACGCAGAGCGAGAGCCCGTGGCGGCAGAGCGCCCAGCAGTCGCGCCGGGGGGATACGTACCCTTCGTTTTCTAACAGGCCTCTGCAGTCCACCACAGACCCGCCAGTGCCTATTCTGTCTCGTGTCTGTAAACTGACTAAAACAGAAAAGAACGCCTTGCATTAAAATCCAGTGGTATTTTATACAAGTGTAATTACAGTGAGCCACTGAATGCATAATTTATGCACATTGTTTTTTTTTTTAAAGCGAGGCATGTGCATATACATACACACATACATTCCCAAGCTTTCAAGCATGAAGCATGTTATTCCAGTAGCTGCCCATCAACACACATCGCCTGGAACATTCCTGGTAAGTGTGGAGCAGAAAGAGGTGCTGTGTTTTTGTACTTTCCATAAACATACGAGAACACAATATTCACTTCCTCTCAGTTACCTTATTCTCTATGGAGATTTTGATTTATGTTTAATAAGGACACAGAGCACTTTCATTATTGCAAAGACCAGATAAATCAAATATTTTATTCTCAGTCACTACTATGAATGAAGACATTTATAAAGTTGTTCCCAGTTATTCATTTTTCCCTCCACAAAGAAGAGAAGAAATCACAAACAGAAAAGCACTCAGTGAGAACTTTTTCATTATGATAGTTTTTAAGGTGTATACTCACTGTTCATTTATCTTGGGTAAGGTCTACATAATACCTAAAAGATTCAGGGTCGCTCTGGTGTGCCGCTGAAATACGTTTTTTTTTTTATTCCTTGCAATGCATATAGTCAGCATACAGAATTTTAGAGTTACCCTAAAGTGCTAATAAAACTGGGTGGATAATACAATGGACTACTTAACAGATAAATCACTTCCAAGAGAATATCAGTCAAATACTTTGTAACATTAGCACATTTTATTTATTCATTCTAAATAATTCTATCCTCTAACTCTATAAAATCATTTTACATGGAAGTCTTCAGAAATCATTTTTGCTTTTTACATATATGACGGGTTTTCCTGAAGAAATTATTCCCCAACTCTTGCATATATGGCCACCATTCTTATCATCTACCTCTGGATAATACAATGACAAATTAATTACCCGTTATGTGACGATTAAAATGACATTTAAAATTATAACCCTAAATCCTTTTGTACCTTAGCCATTTTAACTCAACTCTGAATGACAGGTTGAAGAGAATTAGATAAAACAGTAAAAACCACACAAGATCAAACTCTTTAGTGCTGAAGAGATGGCCCCCCTATGTGATTGTCCCTCGAAGCATGTCGCCATGTCAGTGCTTGTATATGTTTTCTCAGTGATGAGAGCTGAATGTTAAATTCTGTTAAAGCATCTCTTTATACAGATGAGAAAGCTCTTACCCACTATTTGGCCACGAACTGCATCAGTATCTGAGGGATTTAGTTTGCATAGATCCAAACGCTGGTCTGCAAACAAACAATTCAAAACTTAACCCAGGGAAATGGTAACTAGGGAGGAGGGCAGAATTCTGTATTCAGTATTAAAAGAAAAAAACTGATGCCTCATAGGCCTTCTGCAGTTGCATTAGGGGGTGGGAAAGCGGTTGGCACTTACATCCGGTGTCTTTTAATCTGCTGACGGCGTTGGAGAGCAGCCGCACGCAGCCCAGGAAGCCGGCCCCCTGCTTCTTGTGAATTTTCTTGTGGTTCCACACGCTGATGGTTATAGAATCAGTTTTCCCAACATATCTAAAAACAACATGCAAATTCACTTTTAATTGTATTTCTGAATTATGATACCCACTGAGGTTTTATCTCATTGACTTGTTAGTACAGGAGAATCTTAAAAATAATGTTGGTTCTATATATCACATGTAGCAGGCACTCAATAAATATGTCTGCTAACTTCAACGGGTTGGGAAAAGAACTATAATCAGTTATACGAGAAGCAAATGTAGATAACCCAATAAAGTAATAATCTGGTAACAGATTTACTATATTTTATTAGATCCAAAGGACAATGACATGATTCATAAATTCCCAGAAATGTTAGGCTTACTAGTTTAGTTCTTTAAATCCTCACCTGAGGATATGTCTATTGATTTTAGAGAGAGAGGAAGGGGGAGGGAGAAAGAGGAGAGGGAGGGTGAGAGGGCTGGTGAGAGAGAGAGAGAGAGAGAGAGAAGAGGAGAAGAGAAATATCGATGTGAGAGAGAAACATCAACGGGTCGCCTCCTGTGTGCTCCCAGGCTGAGGATGGAATCCGCAACCGAGTTATGTGCCCTGACCAGGAATTGAACCCCTAACCTTTTGGCGCACAGGATGATGCTCCAACCAAGTCACCTGGCCACGGCTAGGCTCACTACTCAACACTAGTTTACAGTAGGGGACTACCCATAAGCCCACAGAGCCTCCCAAAGAATGCTGATGGGTGCTAATTCAGATATCAGCCCCCACTTACTCTCAGTGCAAGTCAACCGCAGAGGGGAGCGTTCAGGGCTAGAAGCGACAAGCACTTCCCAGGCCCCTTATGGCACTCAGCAGAGCTGAAAGTGAGTTTTAGAATCCAACTATTAAAAATCCCACTCAAATCCAGTACAATCTGGTTAATAAAAAACCAATAATCATGCAGTATGACTTTGACAAAAATTTCTTAGCAGGGACATGAAAACATAGGTGCATATAAAATAGTGGTTTTCAAAGTGCAATCAGCTTTATTGAAGGTATAGATTTATATACATTCAATCATACTAAAGTATATTTTCTCTTACAGAAAATATATTTGTACTAAAAAAGAATTAAAAAACAACAGAAATATATGCAATATGTATTTGCATAATAAATATGTATAATAATGTATTTTTAAAGTAAAGAGTCTAAAACCAGGTTTAGGGTTTCACTGAAACCAACCAACCAACCAACCAACCAAACAAGCAAGCGGCTTAGAGAAGACCCAACTATGGCCCTTTTCTTCTGTTAGAATGGCCAGCAGGCTGAAAAGTTACAAAAGGTCACAGTTACAGAAGCAAACCATAATAATCTATAAAAATGTCAAACACAAGAACTTCCAAGTATATGAATTCTAAAACTAGGTAGTATTTATTTGGTCATCCATCTACTTTTGTTATCAATAACAAGTTAGAAATCCTTTTCTTAAAAAAGTGAAATGCTTCTCTTAAAAGTTAGATGCCGACTTCCCTGCCACCCTCCAAATGGCTTACGGAATATTCAACTCACAGGTCGTAGTGCTGGTTCCACTTTGGGTCCAACGTGTTTTTCACAGTGTCCGTTGAGTGGCACTGCCCAGATCCGTCCACAACGACCTTCGCAAAAGGGTCGGGGAGTCCTGGAGAAGAGGGCACAGCCATGCCTGGATGAGACTACAGGCCTATCAGGGACATTAGAACACAGTCTTGCCGGTGAACGGATCTTCTGGGCCCTCTACTCTGGTAACGAAGATTATCCTGGTAGACTTTTTCCCTCTAAGTTAAGGATAGTTTTGATCTATTTAGCTTTCTAAGAAAGGCAACCCAGTAGGACATCACTCTCAGATTTTTAGAGGCTAGAAAACTGGGCTTAAAGAAAACTATACAAATAGGTTTAAATTCAAATGCTCATTTTTGATAATCACTAAGTGTAAGTAAATGGAGGGAAAGGTGTCTATAATTATTTGTATTTATATTTTCTAAAAAATCATACTTAGAAATCTTGTTTGCTGACTCTATTTTATCTCTGGAAGCAAGTATTAAATTAGTTAAGTTCCTAAATGAATCAGATGGTTTACAAGGTCAGAGCGGGGCAAGATAAGAGCGGCAGAGACAGACCCGATGTCAGCCACGCGCGGGAAGCCTGTGAGCCTCACTGCTTCATCTTTAAAGTAGGAATAAGAACCGAGCAGCGCTCTGTGAGGACCGGGAAGAGGGGGAAGAATTCCAAGCTGCAGCAGCTGCTTTAGAGAAGGTGAATGTCCTGAGCTTAGGGATGATTCCTATACTTGATCTTAGCCGAAGGCTGAGAAGTGCTAATAGGGATGATTCCTTTCTTTAGAAAAGGGTCCTCTATTTTTTACAGTTCCTTTAAGTACCAGGCTTTGAAAATGCGATTTAATTTATAAAGTTTGACTAACAATTTTACTTACGCCCAGCTATTTTATAGAAAAGTGTCCCATCTGTACTTGTGCTGAGAACACTACCCAGCACAGAGCAACAAATTAAAACGGGCAGACAGAGAAAACAGGGTGTGGCTGAAAGAAGGAACGAGAGAGATGGCTTTTCTTCTGAGAATTACAAATTCTGTGCCTTGGCGGTAAGGAGTCTGTGCTGTAGTCAACTGGGAAACGAAGTCTGTCAAACTGTGGATTCCCATCAGTAATGGGCAGGATTTTAGGAGAATACACCCTATTTTTTAAAACAAGTTTCAACTTCAGAAATATGTGAAAATATTAATATTGTAAGAGAGTAAAAATAAGTGTTTACTTACTGAAGAAATCTTTCTTTGCAAGGTTCTTGGCACATAATACTAAAAACAAACAAAAAATGCCCAGGGTTAGTTAGCATTTATGAAAAAGATTTTCACCACAGCTAGTTGCTATGGACTCAGCTCCCCCCGCGTCCCCCCACCCCTCATCGCCCAATTCACGTGTTGAAGCCCTATCCACAGCGTGGTGGGATCGGAGGTGGGGGCTTTGGGAGGGCGTAGGCCTCGGTGAGGTCCTGAGAGCGGGGCTCCAAGGATGGGATCAGGGTCCTTACAGGAAGAGCCCCCAGAGCTCGCGCTCACACGGCTCCCTGTGAGGCACAGCGAGAAGGTGCCGTCTACAGGCCAGGGAGGACCCTCACCAAGAACCAGCCCTGCGGGCTCCTCAATCTTAGGCCTTCCGGCCTCCAGAGCTGTGAGAAGCCAATGCTTACTGTTTAAGCCGCCCAGTCTATAGTGTTTTGTTAGAGCTGCCCAAACTGAGTGAGGCAACAGTCTATATTGACAATGGAAAAAGTTCTAAATATTATCTTTGCCAATGACTGCCTTTTAAATTTAGTACTACAATTAAACAAAAAATTGTCAAGAACTAAAACGTGTTTGCTCCTTCAACCGGGAATCAATTATAATAAATACAAAATGTTTTAGTTCAAACTTAAAATCTTACCTAAACACATACAGATTTATCAATATACTCTTATAAAGGCTTAAGGTCATATAAATGTAAATTCAAATTAAAACGTACAGTATTTACCTTTTTATTAGCTATTGATAACAACAAAAGAAACTGGCAGTTTTCATATTCCAATAAATAATACATTTTTGTAAATGTAAATAAACTTTGGTATGTAGGGCCATCATTAGGTATTGTGAAAACAAATGACAACACATATGTTAAGAATTTAGCAAAATGTTGGCATATAGAAAGAATGCAATAAATGCTATTATTGTTATCTTATTCATGAGGTGGTATCAGTTACTGTTAAGAAATTTTGTCACCAGATCTGTTACATGATTAAAGCTACTATATCAAGGGGATGCACGCCGATGTCCCTTTTATATTGTTCACAAATGTTGCTAATTGTTAAGAATAACATGTTTTGTTATGAATTTTTAAATTATTTACAAAATATATTCATATAATACACATTGTTCAACAACTTTTTCACTTAGCATTTCTTATATATAACAGCTTTATCAAAATACAATTCATACACTACAAAATTCATCCATTTGATGTACATAATTCAATGGTTTTTAGTATACTCACAGGGTGGAACAACCATCACCACAAGCAATTTTAGAACTTTTTCATCATCTGCCAAAGAAATCCCGTCCCCATTAGCGGTCATGTTCATTTAACCTCACATCCTGCCAGTCCGAGGCAACCACTAATCTACTGTATTTTAGGCCTCTGTGGACTTGCCTGTTCTGGACATTTCATATATAATAAATGGAACCATATTAATGTATGGTATTTTGTGACTGCCTTCTTTCACTTGGCAAGTTTTTAAAGTTCATCCATGTTGTAGTATGAATCCATTCCTTTTCGTAACTGAGTAATAGTCCATTGAAGGAATAGACCACATTTTCCTTATAGATTTACCAATGGATGGATATTGGGGTTGTTTCTGTCCTTGGTTATGGTGTATAATGCTGCTGTACAAGTTGTTGCGTAGACACGTATTTTCTCTCTCTTATAAGCCTACAAGTGGAGTTGCTGAGCGCTATGTTTAGCATTGAGGGACTATCACAGAGTCTCCCATAGCATCTGCACCGTGTGTACTTCCACCCACAGTGTAGGAAGTTCTGCTCAGTGGGCGCATACCCACCATTCATTTATTAAATTTTTCTTTAATGCCCTAAAGCGAGGTTTTAAAGTATTTCATTAAACACTTTTTTCTACATTTCTAATTGGGCTTGCTCTCGAATGTTTTGTTTTTTGTTACTATTGTGAATAGAAGCATTCCTGTATATTTGAATAAAGAAAAACTTCTCCCTACATTAATTTTAATTCAGCCATCTTTTTCAACTCTCCTCAGATGGACCTGCAATGCAGTTTTTCCTTCGGCTTCTCCCTCTTTCCCAAAGCTTTGAATGTCTCGAGGCCCTCCTGTCAGACTTGGACTGTCCAAAACTGAACTGAAACCTTCCCCTCTGCCTAAAGTCCAGGTCCTGCCCCAGGATTCTTTACTTCAGAATCATCAGCAACGCCCACCAACTGCACAGCCAGAGATCTGTGTCATGCTTTTACTTCTCAGTCCCTCAAATGTGTTGACTTTTGGCCATCTCCTGTCTGGTTCAAGCTCCCAATATTTGCTATCACAAGTACTTTTAAAAATTTAAACCTCATGTCTCATGCCTTTTTAAAAATTCTACAGTGGTTTCCCATTGCTGAACTCCAGGCTCTCCCGCCTCGAATATCATCTACTAGCTCCAGGCCCTGGTTCTTCAGAGGCACCGCTGCTGGATCGCTTTTGACTGGAAAAATTCTCATCATATCTCAAAAAGATTAATCTTCGCTCATATTTACAAGACTAGCAATGTTTTCACTTAAGGCTCATTCCAGTGGAATTTGGTTATATCACAAGGTGCAGAAAGTCTCAATAGTGTCAGCACAAAGAGAATTTTGCCTCAATTTTGTGCCAAGACCATTAGGGTCATATCGATTCTAGTTTAGTTAATGGCATGTGATTTCTCCTACTAGAATAATTTTGTGATAGCGAAATAGAATCCTCTTTGTCCACTCTAAGAAATGCAGCGATAAAAGATAGCGTATTACACAGCATAAATACCACACTACTGAATCTACCACTCATTTTTAAACAAATACGTTATACATCAATTATGAATTAGGTTCTGGGGATACAACAATGAACAAAAGAGACATTTACAGAAAGTGACGCTCAGTTTTCAGTGTGGACCACTGCGGGGCCGCTTCGGTTCCACTCTGAGGTGCCCCTACTCTACTCTCGAGTCATTCCTCTCACATCCCATAATTTCCTAATCACATGCCGGAGTTCCTTAATGTTGGAGATAAAGTAAGAGCATATTATATAACGTTCACTTAGCATCTCAGAATACAAGGAAGGGCAGTGTTTTGCTAACTTGTACATCCAATTAGTAAGGCAAGCTTCTTCACCGGGCCCCTGATAAAAGCATGAGATCCCCCAAAATTACTTGTGGCTGTCATTTTCATTCCCCTCTCCTCTTATATTTGTATGTCTCACCAAGTCCTACCTTGTCTTGTTTCTGTAAGTCTCTGGGCCTGTCCCGTCCCCTACTTTCGTACTCCTTCTCCCATTCCTGGCTTCGCCCATTCACAGTTCACGTAAGAGCCACAGTGCCCCCCCTGACGCGCGGTACAGTCGGCTTCCAGCTCAGTCTTGTGTTCTGAGAGGCTCAAAAGCTCCACTGGCTCTGCACTGTATTTTACTACAAATACACGTTTCTCCTGGGCTTTAAACGGTCCCATTCTCTAACAGCACTTTTCTCTCACACTATTCTTCCAAGCGCAGTTCAGTTCCTTCCCCTCCTCTGGCCCCCCCATTTCCACCCTCGAGGCAACTCTTCCTGCTCCTCAACCCGCTCAGCAGCCTGTCCCTCTGCGCATCCCTGCAAGGCCCAGGGAGGCCCGCTTTCTCAGTGAAGTCTCACTCGGGCCAGCCCCAACGCCTCTCTGTGACAACTTTTTCCGCTATTGCCAGAATTAACAAAATAAAGACAACATAGTGGGGCTTTCATGAAACCAAACTAATTAATTTTAAATGTGTTTTGTTTTGGCCTCATGTCTTTTCTATTCTTTTCATGTTACAATATTTCTTTAATGAAATGAAGTTAAAAAATGGATAATGGATAGCTTCAACAATGACTTGGTAAAATTAAAGGCTGGCAATTTTATGTTGATAGCCCCATTTACATAAAAATTTTGACTGGTCTGGGAATCTCTACTCTTAACTACCAGTGATCCATTCCCTCTTTCTACTCCTTCCATTCAGAGCCACACAGCGGAGCACAGGGCCTGTCATACAGGAGCTTCGTCCCCCAGCTCAGCTCGGTTCGCCAGGAAGGGGCAGCCCCGGCTCCCACCCCTCAGCCACGGGCTTCCTGTGGCGCTGGCTGCGCCGCGGGCCGCAGTAACGCTGCCCACGATGGGCATGGAACAGAGAGCCAGCCAAAGAGAGTAACAGCGATAAAAATATAGAAAATTACGCTGTCTCAATAATTTAAAACATCTAGGTAAAATTTTCGTTCATTAGAAAACAGAACGTGCCACTTAGGAAGGTCGCCAGCACACGGCACGCAGGCAGTGCGCGTCACTAGCCGCCTGCCTCGTCTGACTGGTGCGTCTAAAACTCAGATTTATCTCTAAAATCTTCAGACTCTACTTGGGGGGAAATTCTTAAAGCTACAAAAAGGGGTAAAAAGAGAATCCCTGCTAAAGGCAGAGCCAGGTCTGCTGGTCAGCATGTCTCACTAGCACGTCACCCTCCAGGCCCTGGGCCGGGTCACTGATCCGTCAGTGCTCCGGCCAGTTCAGGAAATCCTCCAATTTGCCTTAAGAGGGAAAAGTGAATCCCATTTCAGTCGGATCAACAGACACAAAATCTTTAAGTCCATACAGAACTAAACTCTACTCTATTATTTGCTTAATGAAATAACAACTTTTCCCAATCCTTCTCAGTAAGTTCGTACACAATGTGTCATTATTCAGACACCATTAGATGAGAAAATGACTTCTCCTTTGCAGGGAAAACTGTCTAAGTTAGTAACACATATTTTAGCAACCACCAGCTGTCCCTATTGGCTTGGGCGGGGCGGAGGGGGCCTCTGGTAAACTGACAATCCTTACAAAGGTTTTCCAAACACATCATTGCTTAAAATAAGTCTTACAGCTTCATTTTCTATAAATGTATTGAATTAATTAAAAAATAAATGACAAAACTGTGTGACTTCATTGGAACTCAGCAGGCAGAGTTCAGCTCATACGCCCAACCTCTGAAGGGTGAGGCAGGGTCACCCATGAGGCAGGGGTTGGCTCC